TTTGGGTTCGGGGTCTGGGGCGGGTGCCCCCCCCACCAGGAGACTCACCAGCGTCCAGGCTGGCGTTGCTCCCCTGGAGCCAGGGTGAAGCCGATGGCCCTGGCTCTCCCCGGTGTCTTTGCCGTCCGTGCTGTTGTGGCTGAGACCAGGCAGTGCTGCACATCCCTAAGGCCACCAACTCACGCTGGTGTCCCTGCTGCTCTGCCAGGAGCTTCTGCAACAGGAGCGATGTTTTGGGGGCTGATCTGTTGGACTGCAACCACTCCATCCCCGACCCGCAGCTGGTCCGGAGGATCGTGGCCCAGGTGGAGTTCTACCTCTCTGATGAGAACCTGGCCAAGGATGCTTTCCTCCTGAAACATGTCCAGAAAAACAAGATGGGCTTTGTCAGCATCAAACTGCTGACGTCCTTTAAGAAGGTAGGCAGCCCGTGGCGCTGGCCAGCTCGGGGTGGGGAGCGGCCTTCACGTGGAGGATGTCTGGGTGTGCTCTGGCTGTCTCTGGTGGGGTGCATGGGGAGGTCCAGGCTCCGCTCGGGCTGTCTGTGTCCCCACAAAGCACTGGTGGTGCAGAGCTGGGCTCTGCTCTCTGCCTTCCCTGTGCTGTAGCTGTTTTCCAACCAGGGAGGGGTGGCTGGGGAAGCGGTGGGCAGTCCTCAAACCAGCCCCAGGGCCGGCTTCACCTCTTCCGCCCATGGTTCCCCCCGCCCAGGGCTGCTTTGGGAGAGATCATCCCCTAGCCAAAAAAATGCAGGGAAGCGCTGGTGTGTGCTGCACGGGGAAGCTGTAGCTTGTTGCCACAGTCCAGGGGGCACTGGGGACCTTCTCCTGCAGACCTGGAGATGCTCACATGGAAGAGGGATGCTGCCTTGCTGTAACTTCAGCTTGCCTGGGTGGTGGGTTCAGGGCAGTCCCTGCCCGAGGAGACTCATGGGGACGCCGTGGCCCCCTCTGTCCTGCAGGTGAAATACCTGACGCGCGACTGGCGGCTCACGCTCTACGCCCTGCAGTTCTCGGAGATGCTGGAGGTGAATGAGGAAGGCACCAAAGTGAGACGGAGGGTCCCCATCCCCGAGTCCCTGCTGAGCATCCCCCCCAGCAAACTGCTGCTGGCCTGGGAGCTGCTGCCCCAGGAGCAGGGCTTGCTGCCGCCGCTCCAGAAGAATTTCCTCGAGACCATCACGAGGATGTTCAGCCCCTTCGGAGCCATCGCCTCCATCCGCATCCTGCGGCCAGGCCGCAAGCTGCCCTCGGATGTGCGGAAATACACATCGCGCTTCCCGGAGCTGCTGAGCAAGTGCTGCGCGCTGGTGGAGTACGAGAGCCTGGAGAGCGCCCGCAGGGCCTTTGAGGACCTCGGCCGCCAGAGCTGCCCGGGCGGCGAAAGCATCAGGGTGGTCCGGCTCTGTGGGAAAGGTTCCAAGAAGAAACCTGGGGCTGAGAGGGAGGCGGTGGAGGAGCTGGCGGACCAGACGGGTTGCAAGGCGCCAGCGGCGCTCCACCCCCGGGGACCCCCGGCCCTGCAGCGCCCCGGAGTCAAGCAGTGCCCCAGCATCCCTGCCCCTCTTCCTGAGCAAGGACCCCTTGGCACCCGCCTGGCCCAGCAGTGGATTCAAGCCCAGCGACTTCGGCAACACCTTCACGGGATCGCTCCTCGCCAGCAAAGTCTTCCCTCCGCTCGGGGCAGGCTTGGGCACCGAGTGGCCCCACGGCTGCAGCTGGGGGAGCGGGGCGGGCACCTGGGAGCCCTGGTGCAGCCAGCCCTCTCCGGATGCCAAACCCCCTCCCAGCAACCCCCTGGCAGCCAAGCAACCCCCCGAGCTCCTCAGCCTGTGGGACGGGTTGCTTCGCCTGCCCCATGGCCCTGATGGCACCAAGGGCTTCTGCAGCAGCGTTGGGAGAGGAAAGCTCAGCCTCCGGCACTGAGGCTCCTTTGCATTTTGGGTTTGGGGATTTTTCTTTTTTTTTTTTTTTCTTTTTTCTTTCTCCTTTTCCTCCTCTTGAGCAGAATAACTCCGTGGCCCCCGGGAGCTGTGTGCGGTGGTGGTGCAGCTGCTGCAGGGGACAGGAGTTTTGGGGCAAGGACGATGCTCGGAGCAGGTCAGCGTGCGAGACGCGGAGCAGCAGCGGCACCGGGAGCTGCGCCGTGCTGATGCCAAGGGGACTGCGCCTGCCTGGGGTCCAGCCCGGCTCCCCCC